AACCTGGTAGGAGTGATACTGAAATCGAGTTGTAAGTTATATTTTCATCCTGAGACTCATGCTTCTGGCATTGCATAAAGCCATTTAAGTAGCCAACCAAAAGATATCCATTGCCTCCCATTGCCCGTATCTTTGCCAGATCCCTTCTGGGGGTGCGTGGTGCTGCCAGCGTCGTCATAGTGCTGTACGCAGGAAGGGCAGAGAGAGGGCAGGCCAAATTCCCCAAATCCTAGCCCTGGTGACAGTCACCTTGGCCCCACCAGTGGTTTGCAGATACCCTGCTCAGGCCGTCCCCGCAAAGACTTTTCCTTTCCCTGTGCGTTCTCCGGGCAGCAGTAACAAGGCCGATAGGCAGAGCGCTGAGAGTTGCTAAGGTGATGATGATTCCTTTAGGGCACTTGCATGTGGTATTAAGGCACGTGCTCTGCTCAGTTGCTGGTTTAGATCTGGTGCGCCTCTGTGTTTTACAGTAGTTAGAGGAGTTATGTGTGTCAGGTGGTGACTGAGGTAACACACTTGCTTGCCCCTGGAATCTTGTTTTTGCCCTAGGTTAAGAATACATTTGGGTGAGGACTGAAAAACCTAATCTGAATTAACCCCAAGTTAAAGTTACTTTCCTTCACTCTAGCAGTGGCTAGTCTATGTCGGGAGGGGAATTGCAGCAGTTTTATCTATCACGTGCCCTACTGCAAGCAAGAGAGAAACCCAGGGGATTTTCTTGCCGTTTTAGATCGCGATGGAAACGAGAGGAGCTCCCTCTAGAGAGGGAGCTAAAATAGGGTAAACAGATATGCTTGTTATCACAGTCTGAACTATATTGTTAAACTATTTTTCTATTACAGTTCACGATCTGCAGAGCTTCGGACTTGATAATGTAAGTGTTCCCAAGATAGTGTTCTGGTTCTCTTGGTCTATTTTCCTTCTGGATTTCCCTCCCTTTGCCACATTGAGATCCCGGCCGGATTTGGCTTTATGAGTCTGAGCAGAACCTGGGACCTGCTTTCACACAGGGCTCTGAAGTATGTTCTGGCACATCTGCATGTTGCTTGGCAAGCCTGTTCCCCTCTTCCTGAGACTGCCTTGCTCCTTAATCTGTGCTTCCCAGTTTTCAAAGGTTGACATTTTCACAACTGCTTCTGGATCTGTTGGAGTTTACCTGGTGCTCAGAGGAAAGCAGATGATACCCATACCTATGCCACCGAGGCAGCTGACAGCATGGTGCTCCTGTGGCAGGGAGAGGAGTGGGTGGGAGAGCCTGCTCTGTAGATGGGAGGGAAGGGCACCGGCGTCTGGGGGTTTCCAGCAGGAAAAGGAGAAATTCCACATCTTGGAATCTCCCATGAATAAAAAAGAAGAGCAAGTGCTTTGGAGTTTACTGTTAGGACGCGCAGGGTAAGGGAGGTCCTGTCTCTGTCCCAGAGCCACACTCAGAAAAATATACAAATAGTTAACTTTAGGCCCCTTACCTTGCCCCTCGGATGCTGTGCAGTTGTTTGAGTTATTAGCATTTCCGTTTCAGATCAATATGACGCACTATATCAAACATCTCTCATTTGGAAGGGATTATCCAGGCATTGTGAACCCTCTGGATGGGACGGACGTCACTGCACAGCAAGGTAAAAGCCAGCGGAGGGAAGTCTCTTTTTAAGTGTCTGTATTAATAAGTGTTAGAAGAGAACAGGAGCGAAGTTCCCAGTCTTTAACAAGAACCCTGACAGCGTTGCGTAAAACGTGGAGTCCTCCACCTTGTGCTCTTTCTGGAACAGCTGCCTCCATTCATCTGGAACAAATCTGCCAACGTGTTTTGATTCTGCGACCTTTCTGAAAGATCTTTCTTTTCAGTATGTTTTCTTAGGGCTATGCCGTTAAATATAAAGGTTTTCATGTGCTAGAATAAGAATTTTCAAGAAGTCGTACTGGTAAAACTATAGCAAGATAACTGGTTTGTAGGAAGTTTTCCATTTAGTCAAGGCTGAAATGCCGGTAGTTTTGGTTTTGGTTGGAACAGGAATGAGATTCACTTTGGCAAAAGGAAAACTTATGTCAGACATTAACTTTACTGTCCTTGAAAACCTCCAGTAGCTGTTGTGCAGAAAGATGTTCCCTGACAAGTTGAACAAAACCAATCTGCGTCTACCTAACCTGTCAGTCAAGCTTTCCAGCTCTTTGCCGGTTATTAATTGTGTCTCTCTGTCTTTGCTTATAGCTTCCATGATGTTTCAGTACTTTGTCAAAGTGGTCCCCACGGTGTATATGAAAGTAGATGGTGAAGTAAGTACCTTTTTTCCCCTATTGCTTTGGCAAGTGAAAGCCTTCAGACTTTCTCCTCAATTCTGACGCTGACCGTATCTGACCTCTGGTGGAAGCAACACAATCTGTTTGACTTTCTTCATATAACCACCCCGGCAAGAATAACGGTATCGATGGTGTAATGTTATCCGTAATGTTGCCGCAGCGATGAAGCAGATTTCAGTCTCCTCCATCCCACCTAGATCAAAGTGACCATGCCATTTTCATCATGTTCCCTCAGGAGAAGTCAAAGCAGCAGGGAGATCCTAAAAATGTTCTTTGGAGAATAACCCAAGATCAGCTTGTCTCCGATTTAAAAACTCCTTTAGCCTCCAAAAGAGCGTGGCTAGATTTCCAGCCCTGCTTTCAGACTATGTCCTTCTTTTGGGACAGGTAGGATAAACAAATTACCGAGGAGATACCAGGGTGAGAGGAAGATCCTGAGAACAGAGACAAACTTATGCTCTCTTCTGAAGGCAGCCTGAGGGAGTTGAAAGAATTGTGATTTCTTCCATTCATTTGGAAGGGTTTATTTTGGTTGCCGTCATTCTGCAGGGGACCTCAAGAGCTACAGAGAACCTCTTTTTAAAAAACAACACAAAACAAAACAAACCTGTCAGTTATCATTACTTGGGCCCCCATAGTCTTAGGGCAGCAGAATGATGTAAGCTGTTGTGTTTCTTTTGCAAAGAAAACACCAGCAGAGGCAGCAGCTCTACTGTTGTGCGGACTTCACCACCAGTGCTACCCAGCGTACTTATCTAACCCTGTGAGGAAGAGACAGGCGCCACATGCCCCAGTACCTCTGTGAACATTCACGTACAAGATGGCTTAGCTCCCTAGCTGTCTCCGAGGTTTTGGTTCTGCATCTTGTACGCTGCATGGGTGGTCCATGTTTCACTTTGACACCAAACCAGCTTCCTCTGAGGTGAAACCCAAGTGTCGTTCTGGGGCTCGTTCAGTGCAAGGACTGATCTACACGTGGATGAAACTACACCAGAATATGACTCCCTTGTCCTACGCGGTTTTATAACTCTGTGCAAACCCCACAATGCTGGGAACCCTTACCACCTCAGGCTCTTCACCCAAACTCGTGCCACTCTCGGGCATGTACCACATATCCTTGCAATCAGAACAACATACTACTGCACATCCACACAACCTTCATGTTGCTTTAGGCACTCTGAAATGTAAATCACCGGCAGATTATTAGTTATGTCAGAGGCTGCATAGGAACCACAAATCTGAGGAGCCACGCGGCCCCAGTAGGTACAATGCAGACATTCAAGCGAAGCTATGCTAGAGCAGTGTGGGCAGAGCAATCTAACAGAATCTGTTGGAAAGGTAGACATAGTTGGTGTTTCTTCATCTGCCCTAAAGATTGAAACTGTTTGCAAGACTCGGTTCTCCTGTGATAAATCCTTATGTGGACCACTCTTTCTTCAATCCCCTGCCTAGAAAGGACCCGTCTGTTTTTTCCTGGAAGTTGGGTGGAAGTTACTTGCTATGAGGTGATACTGGGAGACCCTTCAGACCATGTTTGAAGCTCATTCTGCTTGGATTGAGGATGCCTCTGCAGTTTCTCTGGATGATTGAAATTCCTGAAGTACAAAGGATAGTTAAGCGGAGCCCTATTCTTATGGCCACCTCCCAGTATACCGTGGCTTCTGTTTCTCCTGATGAAATCTTGCATTCTACTGTAGAGCTGTTGTTCAGTTTTCAAAGGACTTCTCCTGTCAAAAGAATTTCTTTTTATTAGTCACCAGGAGAGGAATCCACGCAGACCGTGATGCTTATACGTATGGTAACTATGGATCCAAGTGCTGCCAGATGTATACCAGGGGCTGTGTTACACAATCAGTACTTGGAACCTCCAAATGCCGAATTTGGTAGAGAAACTGGATAGTATGTTTCTCAGCTTGGATCGTAATTTGTGTCAGATAGCTTACTGGGGATGACAGAACATAATTTCATTTTACAGAAACCCAATTTATTTGCTCTAAGAATAGGACTGGTACGAACAACATGGCAAAGAATGGCAGGGCGCAGAAGAATGCTGCAGGGTGATCTTCGTTTATATAGAGATGGGCATTCTGTGTCCTCCTGCAGCCCTGGCACTCTCCTGCCTTTATGTATTATTTACTTTTTTTT